CCCACACACACACGTGCCTTTCATGTTTCGAATTTGATTGATTCGTCTTTCCGGGCGCGTCAACTGCAAAACTCATTAAGTCTTGTCAAAGTAAGTGTAGTACAGGTTTTTATCGCGGGAGATGGCCAGGAATCTTCCACCGCTGGATGGCAAGATATGCCGACCTACATGTCAGATTGCGTTTTTCCCCAACCAGGTATCTTTCAACAGTGCATCCCCGCTCCAGCCAGGACAAACTCTATACATCTATCTGGTCTCTCGACATGTATCGTAGTGTAGTGCATGTATGTGTTTGTGTAAGTAAGGAGTGAGAATAGGACAAGGTAGAGGTATGAAAGATCACGTGGGGTCGTGGCCCGTTTCTAAGGATACTGCTCCGACATTTGCCTTGTCTTGATTGGAGAAACCATGGTAAACTACCAGCCGACCGCTAGAATCGTCCTCTAGGAAGCTGCTGAACTCGGCCTAGCTATGTAGCCAGTTCGAATCAATGTTTTGTCGTAGTTATTTGGACGTTGTGGCGAACCACAAATGAGCGCGTCGTCAGCCTTAGTCATCATGGTTGTCGTTAGATTAAGGAGAGTGCAAAGGGAGTTTTGTTTGATTCGTACTGCCTAGACTTCCTAATTTTATCCGCCTTTCGATGGGATGGCTCATCTTAATGTTTTACTCTACTTAATCGATTCAATGGCCTTCAGGAATAAAAAGAAATCCTGTTCCGTGACGTTGAAGATTTCGCGAGACGTTCTGCTCCCCACTTCCATTCCCAAATTTTCAAAATAGTTACCTGGTGAACAGGAACTTCTATTACTACCTGTGTCATGTTTTGTCTAACGTTTTTATTCCCCCCGCAAAGATGCTAAAACTAAAAATAAAAAAAAATATATAAAAAAATAAAAAAAAACCAAACAAAAACACGCTGCTGGCGATGTATTTCCCGTCCACAACTAAATGTGCCCATGAGACCCTCGCACAGCCCACCGCTCGCTCGAACATCGTCTGAAGCCCCTTCCCCAACTGGAACTTGCGCGCCCGGTGCTCGCTCTCAAGCGCGAACGCGCCTAACCGCACGGCAGCCGCGTGGCGCTCGCTCACCCTGGAGTACTTGCGTGCGGGGACGGCGATGGCGACGGCCGCGGGCGTGGGCAGCAGGCGCGTCAGCTCCGTGGCGGTGGCGAGGGCGACGGCATCGCCTTCGGCGGCGGCGGTGGCGGTGGCGGGGACGGGGACGGGGGCGCTGACGGGCGTGGGCGGGGCCACCAGCAGCGGCGCGGCGGGCACCGTCATCTGGATCTGCGAGCTGCCCGTGTTGGCCGAGCCGGCCAGCGACACGTCGGACATGCGGAACATCTCGTCCTGACACCGACAACACAAAGCACGGGCATGTGAAAGGGTGAACGAAAGAACGTTTAAGTTGCAAAAGATGCCTTAGAATATTAAAAAAAGTTACAAACCTCTTGGGCAGATAGGGAGTCGAAGATGATAACTCTTTGCAATTAGAAGAAAATGGAGGGAATTTAAGGGGTTTTGTCATTTTACGACGTTACATTTGTAACATTTGCTCTTGAATGTTCAGAAACGCATTATGCACTAATATTCGGCTTGTCACGTCATGTCGTTGAGAATTACATTTAGTGTGCGTGCCAAATCGCACTGCATGATGAGTCGTCTACCAGTCAGATACAAATGTTACTCAACATTTCCCAAATGTGCATTTGGAAAAAGTGGTCATCTTCGACCCCCTTTGCATGCAGTAGAAGTTTGCCACCTTTATTCGGATTGCGAGGCAGCCTGCGCGCAGAGCGGTGGCTCACCTGGTAGGTGTTCTCGCGGGCCATGGAGGTGCGCGAGTGCGCCTGCGACTGCGACATGGAGGACATGCGCGAGGAGGAGCGCAGGCCGCGGCCGCGCTGCGTCAGGGACGCGCTGCTGCCCATCTGGCTGCCTGCAACCGACGCGCTCGGCTCTCTCTCTCACTCCCTCTCACTCTCTCTTTTTCCTCTCTCTCACTCTCTCTTCTCTCTCTCTCTCTCCCTCCGTCCCTCCTTCTCTTCCCCTTCCCGATGCCACTTGGGGCATTCATCCGACACTCGTATTTTCTATAACGGAACCACCGGTCTATCGCCCGTCCCTTAGCATAGAAGTGGGGACGGGAAAGTTGTCGTCCAGTTTCCTTGATCCT